AGACTTCTTGGTCCAGAAGCCAAACAAGTGTAGGTAAATCAGAGAGTTATATGATTAATAGGCAACCCGTAGTAATTATGGTAGTTTACTGCTCACGGTTGTCAGACCTGTTTATTTGATAGAAGTTCCCCTTGGCAACAACTCAGCTTACCTTTTCATAATTCCAAGGTTTCAGTTTTCAGTGCCCTTCTTTCCTTGCCACTGAAGGGGTGGAACCCTGGCCCCCCTATCATGGAATCAGAGATGATTTGTTCATCATTTCTGGCACACCAGTTACAGCATCTGCATTGACCACCTCATTTGCTGATCAAACTTTACGTTAATTAACAGTCTTAATGTAAGCTAACTACTGGTATGCCCCCTCTTTATCTCATCCTGCACATGCAATACTGAAAAATGACTGATGCCATGTCAATTACACAACTGTGCAATTCACATTTCCTAGCTGACATGCAGAAACCCCACTATCAGGCAAAAGATTATGGCTTCTTTTCTTGCATTAACAGTGAAGGTTGCATTGTTTGAAATGGAGGTGTATATTTATTTTGCTAAAAAAAAAAAAATAAATCCAATTTTTACCTGTAAATATTAGTTGTATGCTGTACTGCAATTCACACTACATTGATTTGTACTGTAAGTATTTTCTGTCTTTAAAGTTGTTTGTCCCAAAATAATTTTGATTGAGTCTAACTAGCATGTATGATTGGCACAAAATGAGTTTTAAAAATTCAGCAGGGACAGGGACAGAAATCACACTGAAATTAGGTTAAATCCAGAACTAAGTAATACAAAATAGCAAGGAAAACTTGTGATTAACTGCCATCTGAATCACAGACAACTATACCAGGCATTATATTTTTTTCTGGCTTGTCAGACAATTTGTTGACAAGTACTTCTGGATTATTAGGTTGTTAATAAAAACCTTTAGATTTTAAAGAAATCACTGTTTGCCTCTGTACAAATGTTTTCTATTATTTCATTTCAAGAATTCGATATTGCCTGTTACAATAGATTGTCTATTCATCACATATGTGACAACAAAATGTCATCAAGTTGGCTTATGGTAATCTGTTCCAGGGTTTTCTAGGTACAGAGTGCTCAAAGGTAGATTGCCTTCTTCTGGGGGCACTCGAGGACAGTATACTGTATTTTTCTGTGTATAAGATGCCCCCACCCACTTTTCTAACCCAAAATTAAGAAATCTAAGTGGGGCTTAGCAAGTGTAGGGGAGAAGGGATCAAAGCACTGCAGGATTGCTTTGGTCCCTGCTTTATCCCTTCATGCTAAGCCCCGTGGGGCTTAGCAAAAGGAGGGAGAAAGCAGGGATCAAAGAAATCCTGCCACTGTATGATCCCTTTATATAGCCATGAGATTGCATTGATCCTTTCCCCCCTCCTTTTGCTAAGTCCCTGTTTCCTTTTGCTAAGGCTTAGCAAGCAGAGAGGAAAGCAGGGATCAAAGCCCTGCAGGATCACTTTGATCCCTGCTTTCCCCTCCACTTGTGTTTGTTCTCTCCTCAGCTTACTTCCATGTATAAGACGACCCTCAATTTTTAGTCTACAGATTTTAGACAAAAGTATAGTCTTATACGTACACGGAAAAATACGGTAGTTTATCAAAGATGACACAGGCTGGTTCTCCACCTACAAAGCACAGTGAGGAAAAGGACTATGGGCTCCTGTCTCCACCACCACTGAGCTACCCAGCCATCTATTCTTATGTACACCAATCACAACATTTACAGATTTTTCCATACTTTGTATTACTTGCTTTTGCCATTCTATTTCTTCTATGTCCTTGTTTCCTTTTGTTCTGTTATTTGGAAACTTCTTCCATGTGTTTGTTTAGGTCTAAATCCCAGCATTGTCATTTAGAATAAAGCCACTGAAATTAAACACATTTGCTAGTTGCAATTAATGCCCCGTTTATTTCAATGGGTCTAGTCAGAAATACAGGCCACACTTGGTAAATATGGGCCTCCTTTCAGTCTCATGACATTGGACAGAAATTCTGCTGGTCTAGTCAAAAATCTCTGATCATCTTTTAAACCTCAGCTACAGTGATGGAGATGGGTATGAAAACGCACGTAGCTACCGTATTTTTCGCACCATAAGACGCACTTTTCCCCCACAAAACAGGGGGGGTGGAAAGTCTGTGCGTCTTATGGAGTGAAGAAAACAGATTATATTTTCCTGTTTTCTTCTCCTAAAAAATTGGTGTGTCTTATGGAAAGGTGCGTCTTATGGAGCGAAAAATACGGGTAAGTATTTTTGTGAATGAATGAAGCTTCAGAATTGCAACTCTTTTATTAAATGAAAAGGAATGATACTTGTTATTGGCAAAGCATGTAAAGTATTTCAGTATAGACAGCTCAAGACTTTTACATTGCAGTTTCTCTGCTGCATTATGCTTGTGGTGCTGAAGCCTCTTCATCAATAGCACCTGAATTAGTCTGGGAAGTGGTGAGAGAAGGAACAGAGGGAGATGGAGACTACATTATAGAGATGATTACAGAAAAATAAATTTCATTGATTTCAGTGACGTTTACTTCTGTGTAAATCGGCACAGGATTGTTACCCTCATGTGCCTTCTGAGAGGGGAAAAAAGAAGCAATTCTGGCCCCATCTTATCTTCAGCAGCCACAGCTGGGTTATCTTTGTAAAAATGTTGTTTTTACTGCAACAGCAGTTACTCTCAATGGAACTGCTACTGATGCAAAGTCTTCTTTGCCAAGAAAGCCTCAATGTGTAGCAAAGTAGTAACCTCTCCTTTTTCCTCTTAGAGACAATATAAAGCAGTTGAAAGTCATGGTTCTTTTTGAAAAACAGATTAAATAAGAAGCATGTGTTGAGGCAAGTAGGTTTAGATGCTCTTTTCATATACTTCAAATTTGTATTGCACACCATTTTCTTCTTGGATATCAGTAGGGACACCTTCATAGCTAGAGAGAGTGAGACAGAATAAATAATATTTAATTAGAAAAAGGTTAAATGTCTGTTTGATTAACTGGAAAGAGGACCAAGAGGTTAATTTGTTCTGCACATAATGTTAGTCCATATATTTTTCTTCTAGTTTTACATTGGTATGCTCAAACTTGTGAAATATCTTGTTATGGCAATAACATTGAGCTGCAGTTGATACAAGAGATGCAAAGGCCTACAAAAAAGATAATTTCAAAGTTTAACAAGTAATTTTTAAAAACAAGTAGAAATGAATACCCTGTTTCCCCAAAAATAAGACCTAACCTGAAAATAAGTCCTAGTATAATTTTTTAGGATGCTCGTAATATAAGCCCTACCGCACATATAAGCCCCAGTGAAGTGAAACACCGCCCTCCATCATTGTGCCGCAACCAGAAGAAGATGGCATGACTGTATTTGAATAAATGTAGATGGTTGAATTGGGGGAAAAAATCCTCTGAAAATAACTCCTAACGTGTTTTGGGGAGCAAAAATTAAGACCCTGTCTTATTTTTGGGGAAACACAGTAGTTATGAATAATTTTACTTTAAATGTTTATTAAAATGTTTCAGAAGATATCCATATATTGCTACGTAGCCTTTACTCTCCCCAAATGACTGATACTGGAAAGCCAATTTCGAATGTTTCAGAACATACAAAATCTTTAGATATTTGGTCTAGAAATGCAGTCTTGGTTTCTGCCAGGCATATTCCTCTTACAATATGATGGCAAAACCAGGACTTTGCATGACACATTCTGACTCCTTCTGCTTCTCTCCTGCTTCAGATTATTCTTCCTGCAGCTTTTAGAAGAAAGGGATCTATGTCTAAAACACACTGTCATGAATTGTTATGAGTGGAGAAGTTTACTTCAATCTCCACAAACTTTCAAGAAACCAAAATCCACCATGCCTCTGGTGAAAAATTCAGAACTGTCTTCCCTTCTTCTCCCCACTGTAGCCCTCCTCTCTTTCAGAAATCCAGCTAGAGGGTTTTCCAGCACTTCAGAATTTGATTTGGGTGTGTGTGTGCATGGAGGGCTGCAGTAGAGACAAGGGGTCGCTCCTCTCCCAGTTCCATTGACATTGGCTGTTCTACTAATGAAGCAATAAAAGATGATCATTAGACCCTGCCCCTCATTTCTCATATACATAAATGTGGATAAGAAAATGCTGATAGCATGGCGGATAAAAATCAATGCTTTTTTGAAGATTTAAATTATGATAAAAATAATTTTGAATTCATCAAAAAATCCAATTAAAAATTAAATCATGATTTAAATTGATTTGATTTAAATGAAATCCACCCTAGCTGAATTCAGAAAATGAGATTGATTAGACAAAGTTTAATGAAGCACTGTAGTAGTCTACAATGAGTCCTGAGTAGCTGACTCTTTTTAAAAGTGCTTTCTGCTTCTACCAGACATCACTGAGAAGACTAAAAATGAAATATATAATTTTCTTGCTTTTACTGTAATGGTCACAACTTCCTGCACTTTCAAGCTTTGTCTGCCTGCTTCTCAAAACTAACAAAAAATAAGAGATGCTAGATTTCTTAGAGTACAGCAAAATGTTGTTCCCTTTGCAACGTTAACTATAAACTTCAAAACTAAATTTAATCAATAACTTCAACTAAATAGATAATATTTTTAAATATACCAAATAATTTTACGAACAAACCAAGTCTTCCACAATTCATTTTAGATACATAAATAAAGTGGTAAAAAGCATGTATTGCATATTTCCATTTCCACCAACATTTCTATTGGTCTGCCAGTGTCGATATGACATACAGTATTACTGTTTATGTAATACTTACACAGGGAGTAGCCTGTATTTTTCTAAATCAATTTCTGGAAAAAATGTATCACTTTCAAACTCATGTAGGATTCTTGTCACAAACAACAGTTGATGAATTGGTTTGTCCATTGCTGCCTTTAATAAATAGAGACAAAATGAATGAATTCCTGTTGTCTACACAGCACTGGAGATTAAGCCTGTCTACTGGGCACTAAAAGAAATTCTGACATGTTAATAACAAATAATATTGTTTACAACAGTTAGGTGGGCATTTATTTAAAAATGTAATAAGCATTTTAAAACTCATAATGTACCATACAAAGAATAAATAGATCTGCAGAGCTAAAGAGAGCAGACAATAGACAAAGCACGTTTTGTGAGAATAGGAACTGGAAATACATTTTCTTCTTGGAATGTAAGGATCATCTATATATTTAGATAGTTAACAGCTCACAAACAGGACAGGAAATTGTTCACCACTATCTATCATTTCAAAGCCTTTAACACATATTTTCATCACATTTTCTATTGTTTATATGTTGTTATGAAGTAGCAAACAGTTGCTGGTATGCCAGTGTAAAATGATATGATGCCAAAATAAATTTGGCTCAAAAAGATAAAACACTTTATCAATGCAGAGAATAAAGATGTTTAAGAATACAATGGCTTTGTAACTGTTAAGAAGCAATTTAGCACAGCATGTGTCAACATCCTCGAACTGTAAGCATATTACAAAATACAGAAATTTAAATTTTATGACCATATGCCTTCTGGTCACCGATCACCTGTATCCTTAGAAGATAAAGTCCATAAGGATTGTTCATGAAAATAGCATGACCATAACCAGCTATGTAGTTGGTTAACAACTTTTATCTACGTTTCTCTCACTGAACACAATAATATTCTAAAGATTTACCAAACACTGAGTTGATTCACCTAAAACTGAGTTGCTAATGACTGCTTTGACTGTTCATGCAAATATAATCCAATAATTTTACAGTCAGCTTTTGTTGAGATGATTTTATTGTCATGCTCTCCAACTGTGGAGGTCTTCAGTGAACTAGAATTTTGGCATCTGATACACGAGAAAATCCAAATTCTGTGCATACACACAAGTAAAATGATAATGCTTACAGATTAGATTTTCCTTTGAACTCCTTGTAACAATGTGCTTATCAAAACTGAGCCAGTGATTGTGCAATTATTTTTAAAGTCATGAGACATAATTTTAGGATTTTAAAGTTACTGGGCATCACAGAACAGGATGGTCATCTGATTAGTAGGTGTTATCTGACATTATACTGATAAGCAATAACTGGGGAAAAAGCAAGAGATCTTTATAAATAATAACAGCTTGGGAAGCAAACAGGAGCTTCAGAGGCTGATTTCAATAACAAAACAGTTTGCGGAAGAGATTTAATCCTCCTTCCCCCATGGTCTTGCATGGTTCGTTTTGTTTAGTCGTGTCCGACTCTTCGTGACCCCATGGACCAGAGCACGCCAGGCCCTCCTATCTTCCACTGCTTCCCGTAGTTATGTCAATTTCATGTTGGTTGCTTCGCAGACACTGTCCAGCCATTTCATCCTCTGTCGTCCCCTTCTCCTCTTGCCGTCACACTTTCCTAACATCAAGGTCTTTTCCAAGGAGTCTTCTCTTCTCATGAGATGGCCAAAGTATTGGAGCCTCAGCTTCAGGATCTGTCCTTCCAGTGAGCACTCAGGGTTGATTTCCTTTAGAATTGATAGGTTTGTTCTCCTTGCAGTCCAGGGGACTCTCAAGAGCCTCCTCCATCACCACAATTCAAAGGCATCAATTTTTCGGCGGTCTGCTTTCTTTATGGTCCAGCTCTCACTTCCATTCATCATGAGAGGAAAAACCATAGCTTTGACTATTCGGACTTTTGTTGGCAAGGTGATGTCTCTGCTTTTTAAGATGCTGTTGAGGTTTGTCATCGCTTTCCTCCCAAGAAGCAGGCGTCTTTTAATTTCATGGCTGCTGTCTCCATCTGCAGTGATCATGGAGCCCAAGAAAGTAAAATATGTCACTGCCTCCATCTCTTCCCCTTCTATTTGCCAGGAGATGATGGGACCAGTGGCCATGATCTTAGTTTTTTTGATGTTGAGTTTCAGGCCGTTTTTTGCACTTTCCTCTTTCACCCTCATTACAAGATTCTTTAATTCCTCCTCACTTTCTGTCATCAGAATGGTATCATCTGCATATCGGAGGTTGTTGATATTTCTTCTGGCAATCTTAATTCCGGTTTGGGATTCCTCCAGTCCAGCCTTTCGCATGATGTATTTTGCATATAAGTTAAATAAACCGGGGGACAATATACAGTCTTGTCGTACTCCTTTCCCAATTTTGAACCAATCAGTTGTTCCATATCCAGTTCTAACTGTTGCTTCTTGTCCCACGTATAAGTTTCTCAGGAGATAAATAAGGTGTTGAGGCACTCCCATTTCTTTAAGGACTTGCCATAGTTTGCTGTGGTCCACACAGTCAAAGGCTTTTGCATATTCAATGAAGCAGAAGTAGATATTTTTCTGGAACTCTCTGGCTTTCTCTATAATCCAGCGCATGTTTGCAATTTGGTCTCTAGTTCCTCTGCCTTCATGGATTGCTTGCATGGTGACTTTTAAGAAATAGGGAATTTCAAGAAATGTACTGAAATATACAATTAAAATACTGAAAATCCCAAGAATGTTATTGAAATACTTTATAAAATAAAGCCTAGCTTGACCTTCTAGAAAAATATTAGTGAGTCATATAAACGGCTCATCTGGACCACTGGTAGACCATCTGTTGACTTATTGCTTATTTTCTTATACTCTCTTACCTTTCTCCCAGCAGTCCACTCTGAACTGGGGTAGAGATGGGAATGTCAAAAAAAAGGAAGAGGGAGTTGCTTTGTGCCAGTCCATCACTGGCTTCTAATCCTTCTCTCTATTGGCATGCAAACGCCAATAGATTATAGTTTAAAGAACACAGACTTCATGTGATGAGAATCCCCACTCCAATCTAGAGTATCCTTTTTCGACAGCTGTAATTTCACCCATTTCAAAACATTCTGAATGAGCACAGTGTGCTGCTAAAATATTCTGGTTCTTACTGGCTGCTTTATGATACACATAGTATTTGCAAAGCAGTAATTTTCACCTAACAGAATGCACTTGGAAATAGTTTCCATGTTTAAAAATCACAAAGATACATATAATTGCATAAAAAAATTAATGGGAAAAATGTATGGGATAAGCTAAAGAGTTCCTCTCTTTCTCAACTATATCACTCTTCCTATGTATATTCATATACCCGTATACAGAAATTTTATTTTAATTAAATAATTTAAGCATTAGGTTTGGTAAGGTACAATTATCATTTTGAGCGCTGCCCACAATTCAAGTTACAGGTATAGCATCTGTTTCTTTAAGAAATATTGTTACCTGAAAATAACAAAAGGGTTAGAGGCTACAGTGACATGAGCATATGTGCTTGATACATGGTAGTATCATATTTTAAGAAGGTAACCAACATTAAACATAGCAATATGGAGAAGACTTAAACAGACTTATTTGTTTTTCCATAGAAGAAACACACATGGGGCTCCCAGTCAGTTTCTTATTTACAGAGTAAAAAACTACAGCAGGCTTTTTCATGCCACTTTGAATTTGCATTCTTTTCTAGGCACATTTAAATTGTGAGTACCACATATTTTTTGAATTGAAAAGTTCAGAAAAGAAGCTATTATGAAAAAAAAAAGTATAATGTTCTATACTGAAAGCTATATGAGGAGGCGTTTATTGTTCAGCCTGATCATTCTTTTGGAACTATTAAAATAAGAGAGAAGAAAGCTTCTGACTGACTGACACAAAAAATACGTATCGTTCAAAAAAGAATCATTAGTTTCTGTAAACCATTCTGGAAATTCTGTTTAATAGTGGTATACAAATACCTTAAAAGAATAATATATGAGTAGATCCACGGAAATCAACAGGACTATTCACAAGTTACATTAGTTCCACGTATTTCAATGGGCCTATTCTAGTTTGGAGTAACACTGGATTTATCCCAGAACTTTTGATGGCCAAAACACACACACAAAAAGTATAAGCCAAGATTCAAAATGAGCTGTTCTCTGCCTCCCTGTAAAAGTATTCTCCTGTGTGAAAGGCATAAATGTTATATTTAAACCAATTGGAGGAACAGAAGTCAACAAGTTAACAATCCATGTTTTAATTCTAGAAGAGAAAGAAACTTGAAGTTTAAAACAAGGAGTTATATTTTGGCTTTATTCCACAAAGAACAAAATTTGGGCTACATATCAGGTGTTCCCCATGCTACCCCAATACACGGACACATTGATGGGATTTTTTTTATACATTAAATGAACAGGTTATCCCCAAAGGGCATCGCTATTGCTGTGGAAGAGCTGAAGTGAAACATAGACAGAGATAGTATCAGCATGTACAAACATCAGATTTGCAGCACTGTGTTCTGCACAGATACATCATCTTTATGAGTATAGTAGTCTAACTAATATGAATTTGGAGGAAGGAATTCTACTGTATTTAACATTGTACTTTCTCCAAAGGAAGTACAACATACAGGGTGTTACTTGTGAACATGGCATAAGTTGCTGAAAGGATTGCGCCCTTAATTGTAAAGATTACTGTCTGTTTTAAGTGTTTCTTGCCCTTCTCATTCAAATCTCCTTTCAAAAGGGAAGTTCAGTGACATAGCATGAGTATTAAACTCTGTGCTAAATACTGTGCTAGCACATATTAGAAAGCACATAATCACACTTCCGCCAATTCTGAAACAATGATGTTTGTCTGATATTGTAGTTACGACCCAAAGTATCAGAAACTACCTCTGATAATTTGTTGGTGTGGAAATTCAGCTGGAAGCAAGACTGGATATGTTTATGGTGTGTGCGTGTGCATGTGTGTGCGCGTGCTGAGAGATCAATTATCCACTATGCCTCTTTGACAAGGGCTGAACTCAGTGATCCATAGGGTCCCTTGCAGCTCTGCAGTTCTATAATAATAATAATAATAATAATAATAGGCGCAGTGGTTAAACCACTGTACTGCAGCCAAAACTGTGCTCATGACCTACGGTTCAATCCCAGGTAGCG